CTAATGCCTTTGTTCGCATGTAATGTTTTTTCACAGCTTATTTCTATGGAAAATTTTGGTCAAATAGGGATTCTCCCTTATAACCATATTTGCTGATCTCCTTTCTTCAGGGAATGTACACCACTTCACCAATGTTACTAGTTCCGCTTATCATCCTAATTATGTCGAAAACTGGTTAAATTGGAACGGTTAGGAGTTTCTCTTTAGCTCCTAACTCCAAAGCATGTGGCGGGATCATAATTTTCTCCATCGCCCAAATTAAGTTGCCTCAGATTCTCCAGACGTCAAATTTTCCAAACGTCTCACAGTTTCACCTATAAGCCAAGTATTGTTGACACATCGTTCCTCAACTGAATAACTTGTAGAGTGGTGAGGAAGCGTGCATTACTTTAGCCAGGTTGTTTAGCTAAGCGCTCACTTCGCATGAGTGGAATTGATTAAAGTACGCGATGCCAAAAGCTCTCTTTGGGTATGTCGCTTTCTGCTTTCCTAATGCTGTTGACTTAGCAAGATGTTACAGAGGAGCTGCTTCATGGTCCGTCCATCTCTCCCACCTAGACTTAACTAGTTCCGCCTTTTAATGTTGAGTATTGCCTACTTAAATTAACAAGTAGCATGTATTGGTGTCTCGTGTTTTTAAGGGGTCGGTGGGGTGCTGCATTTTCTCTTTCGTTATTAGCTTAAGTTGTAACCTTTTTGTATAACTTTTGCGCCGCATACGGTTTAATAAATGTGTTATCCTGACCTTGATAAGCAAACGTCAATGAACGGCATTAAAGTCTTGGGCATAGCAAGATTTTACCCTACCGTATTTAAAAGGAACGTGGCGACCGGTGGTATTTACAACAAGAGATTTAGGACCTTTCAATTACGTTATCCATGTGTTCCCCCATTGGCCTTCTCAAGGCAGCACGTTTTGAGCATAAGTGGCCGGCTGATGGGAGCATGACTTGGGTTGTATTTAGGAGTTTCTTTTTCATAACCTAGAATTGATCTGTATTTTACACCCTCATTTTAAGCGTTCTCGATTTTGATATCCGTCCTCGCAGATGTTTGAAGCACTATCGTGATGCACACCAGCTAACTGCCTCTTCTCTCTTCCTTCCTCAAACAGGACACATCCCTTCCAGCCTGGCTACGAGAATGGGTGGGTGCAGTGGACGACTGGATGATTCGTTTGGTAGCAATGCTTCGGCGACGGCCGCTAATTCGTCTACTGTCGATTCTCTACCTTGGTGTCTTCCACATCTGGCTCCTCTGTACTCTTGTCCTATTCACTCCGCCCCTTTCATCCTCCAATGTACCACAGCCGCCACCACCACGTTTTCTGTGATTCATGCAATCGTTCCACCTCTTACACGTCTTTTATTACTGATGTATGATTGTCCCGCTTATACGTCACTTCTTTTTGGCTACCTTATGGGCATAGTATTAGTAGCGAGCCCTAAATGGAATGAATAAGCTCTGACTGCGTTGGCGGAGTCCTTGATAGTCGGCGAAAAGTTATGTCAAGGAAGGACGGATGGATGTCTTAATTTGGCATGTATGTACCTGGATTGATAGGCGTTGTGGGACAGGCAAATGGGTGGATCCAGATTTGCTTCATCGAGCTGAATAGCCGCTCCTGTCACAAGATCTCGATTCTCGTGTCTCGCACTAATGTACAAACGTTAACACATGGGCCGATGCTACGCTGTTATTTGTATTGCACATTCTAAATGTGTTGGAGTTCTTTTTTTTTTCAAAAAAAATGAATGATTGGTCCCTCGACGAAGTTACGCCAGCTTTGGTTCAC